AAACTAAACTGCCAAGCTTTCAAACTCTGCTTCAGAGAGTGCAACTCTGATAGGCTGGCCATGTTCAAAGGCAAAACATATGTTTGCCAAAAAGACTATTTTATGGAGAACTCACACAGGGCAAGCATTCATATGGTGGTCAGAATAAGTGATACAAGGACACTTTCAAGGTCTCTCTTAAGAACTTTGGAATTGATTGTGTGACATGGGAAACACTGGCACAGGACTGCTCAGCATGGTATGCCCACATCAGCGAAGGTGCTGTGCTCTATAAGCAAAGCAGAATTGAAGTAGCTCAAAAGAAATGTGAGATGCGCAAATTTAGGGAATCCAGCCCAAATGTTCACATGGACTAGTTGTGCCCGACCTGTGGTAGAACATTCTGAGCCCATATTGGTCTGATCAGCCACAGTCAGACTCACTGTAACTTGCCTCTAGCATAGTGAGGTCATTTTGGTCCTCTTCAAGAACAAAGGGCGACAACCAGCCGAATTGATTGATTAAGCACCTACTTTGTGCCTGCTACATGCATGCGTATTTCTTTGGTCTATATCTAAGTGTATTTATCCAGTTAAACTTCACTCAGACCCTACTAACTAACTAAAACTCTGCCTATGTCCCTCATCTCAACAACATAATGCAATCAATGAGAGAGAGAGAGAGATTAACTATATACATCCTTTCCTCATATTCACAGAAGCAAAAAGAATAGCAAAATATGTGAAAAGATCTTTCATGTGAACTATGAATCTTTCACATCTCCAAAGCCTAGACAGTCTCTAGACAGAGACTGAACTTAGGAATTGTCAGTATGTTGTCCATATGCTTGGGCTGAAATGTCTCCATTAGCTGCCAATTCTGGGAACTGATGAGCATCCCATTTGTTTTTCAACTCATAACCACCTGAAGTATCAATGCCCAGTCAGTGAATTGAACTCAGGACCTAAGGCACTGATTCCACCTCCACCCACTTTCCCTCACTCACCACTCTGTGGCTGACTGGTATCTCCAATCCTGTCTCCAGTTGTTTCAGCTAAGTTAACAGTTGATATGTATCCTCAATTCTACTGGAATGGTGGATTGTTGGTGTGGAGTTAGAGGCAGACACCAGCATGAGGAGAGGTTCCTCCCGTTCTAGCCATCCTTCTCTCTCCTTGAATCCCTGCCCACCCACCCACATCCCCCCATGCATCAGTTCTTCCCTCATCTTTCATCTTTTTTTCAGTATCAGCTTAGCTAGCATTGCCAACTTCAGAAGCTTTATGAGAGAGATGAAGCCAAGGCTTGGGCCTAAGGGCTCTCAGCTGGGACAGAGATATGACCTGTTTTAATACTACTCCCATTCATGCATGTGTTGCATCACCCCAAGTAGAATATAAGCTCTTTAAAGGCAGGTGCCTACTGTACCAGTCCCTGGCACAGTAGATACTTAATGTTTGTTCATTTGATTTGAATTAAAGCTTGCTGCCACTAATAATCCCATAGTCTCCTGTAGTATTCAAAACAAACTGTAGTTGGCCTGCCCTCATTCTTCAAGCACCTCAAGACTTCCATACCATGTTTCTTCTCTCCTATGCCAAATGCTGGGAACCTCTCTCCATCCAGCATTTATCTTTCTGAACCAAAAGTCCTTCCTTCTTTCTTTCCCCACAAAATCTTAAAATGAAAGACAAAGAGAGGAAATAAAGTCCACCAAGGGAATACTTGTTGCTTTCCAGGACACATAAGGAAACCTTGAAGTTGCTATAGGCTTGGTCAGGAATTGTGGAAGGAGCCCGTCTATTATCAGGACATCATCAGATAAGGAATTATGTGAATTTTGGAAAATGAAAGGGACAGAGACATGATGGTGACCTAACCCCATGAGTCCTCCTTCCTTGATGAATGCTAGATTTATCCTTGTCCATATGCAGTCGCAGAATCTTTTACCTATACCCAGGGTATTGCACGGACAAACTGAAGCCAAACAAAGTTTCAGATCTGCCAGCTGCAGTACCAACAAAGAAGTATCCAGTCACCAAGATGAGAGATCAGCACCAAATACAGTCAGCTGGTGAAGTCCCCACTTTCTCAAAAGAAAGATCAAGAGAAGTTCCATGAGGTCTTGAACCAAACCCAGTGACTGAACACTGACCTTCAGGGAAGCTTTGTCCTATGTGGGAAGCCCTAGGGTGAACACCTGTGGGAATGACTAGGAGGAAGAACTGAACTTCTATGAAAGGACCAGTGTCCTTGGGGACTGGAGTCCAGCAAAATAAGAGTCAGCCCCAGTCACTGAGTGGCCACTTGAATTTACAGAAATTAGGGGGTAATTGTGCTAAGAAATTTCTCCCCAAAGGAGTCTCCAGACCCAATGAGTTGACATACAATAGCAAAGGCTTTCTGAGAGCATGGCTTCCCTTCAGGAAATCTGAGGGTGCCCTTTGGAACCCTCCATCATCCCCATCTTTTGCTGCCTACATATGGGTTTCTACCTTCTTTATACGACGATCATGAGTTTAGGGGAAGAAGCTTCTCTCACCAGTATTTGTGCTACCTTCTTAGAGAAGACTGAGCTCTCCAAAGCTCTCTAGCACCAATCTTGCCTTCTTGGGCTATGGCTCTTGGATTATTTGCTCTGTCATGGACCAAGGCAGCCTCTGTCAATAAGCCACTATGGAGGAAAGGCACAAATGGTCTCTTACAGCATCATAAACATGATTTTTCTAGGTATCTACTGTGAAAATTCAAAATTGGAGATCATAGTGAGATGACAGCCAAAATGGTAAATCCCAGCTACCTTGATGGGCTAAGTGAATGAAAAAGCTGAAAGGATACTTTCTCTAAGGAAACTAGCTGTTAAACACTGAAGGACCCAATTAAAGTATTTCAAATAGAACTCTACTTCTTTTTTACATTTGAGCTAGTTTATTTGTTAAGTGCCCTTACTACCTCCCCCTACAAAAGAAAAAAACAAAAACAAAAAAGCGACTTCTATGAGGAGAATATGCTGTGACCACGAGCATGTTCTTAACCTCCCTCAGTATCTTTCCATATCTGTAAAACCAAGACAACATGGCCTCTCTGTTCCTTATGCATGCCATCTCTGGTCTCCGTTCAAATGCATTGGCCATCCTCCCCTCAACCTCAGAATTCTTCATTTCCTTCAAGATGTCACCCAAGCACCTCCTCCTCAATCCATTTCTTGAGCCCTTGACTGCCAGATACCCATTTTCAACTGATGATACATTAAAGCAGATTTCAATTTTTGTCTTTGTATGTCCAGCACTTAGCCCATATGGCACACGGGAGCCACTTATATCCTTGTTAATTGATGAATTGAACAGTATAAAAATCAAATGATACAATGTATCAAATATGCTTTGCAAACCTTAAAATGTTACATAAATATTATCTATTATTGTAAGTAGAGCTATAGCTTTGATTGGGGAAATATTCCAAAGGACCAATATGGGACCTGTAAGAAGCTAAGAATGAGGGCAGAGGTGATGTAGTAAGATAGAACAACCCCCGGAGCAGTTGGTAGGATTCCTGGCTTCTGGTTCTAACCCTCACCATATGATCGTGTGAATCACTTCATCTCTTTGTGCAGTCCAAAGGCTAAACAGTCTCTCAGGCACCTCCTCAGAGTAAAACACAAGAATGTTTCACCATACAAATTCCTCCAGCAGGAGGCAGCATGGTGAACCAAAGAGAACCTTGGAGACTGAAAGATCTGGATTCCATTCCTGCCTTTGACACATATTGTCTGTGGGGCCCCAGGAAAATCCCTTCCTATATTGGTACCCTGGGAGGGCAGAAGAAGCAACTCTCTAAAACTATAAGTCTTAATAAGATGAAATACAATAGGGATGAAATTCAAACTTCATCCCTGGATTCAAAAAACCAATTTAATCAAATGAAAGAAGCATGTCTAAATAGCAATTAAAAAAATATCTAGGGGCTTTAGTAGCCTGCAAGCTCAATATAATAGTGGGATGTGGCAGCCAAAAAAAGCAAAATTTGACTGCAAAAAGAGAATCTTCTCTTCTGAGAAATAAGGCTATAGATTCCCCCTGCCTGCCCTCCACCCGATCACACCACACCTGGCATAGTGTATTTAGATCTGGACACCAGGCTGTATGAAGAACAATGGAATACTACAGAATGTCCAGAGGAAATAAAGTGGATGGTGAGAAGGGATATGGGTATATGCCATAGAGAGGTGAAGGAACTGGGACTGTTGTGCTTATAGAAAATAAGAATCCAGGAGCCATGATAGCTCTGTTCCAGTGTTTGAATGGTGGTCGTGTGTGACAGGGATTAGGCCTGTTCTTCAGGCCCTAGAGGGCAGAGGAGGTTTGATGGAAAGGGAGCTAACCAGGAGAGTTGCCCAGAATTCTCTTTTCTGGCCAAACTGGCCAGTTTGCTCTTGCTCACACATGCCGTGCTCACTCTCTCTTTCTCTCTCTCTTGTCTCTGTGCTTTGGCGATTTCTGGGTTAGTCTCCACATCATCACCTCTTGGAATCAAAACTCTCTTCAAGGCGCAGTTCAAGACCACCCCCTCCCAAATTCAGCCTTTGTGGTTGATTATCTGACGTTAGTACTAGTGACCCTTTACCTCTTCCAAAAAAAAATTATTTGTAGAGATTTATTTTGTAGAGACAGATCTTGTATTTGCTTATCTGTGGACAAGTTGTTTTTGCAATAGAACATAAACTCCTGGAGGGCAGGAACTTTTGTGTTTTTGTCTTTATAACCCAATGCCTCACAGAGTGCCTGGCAAATATTAGGCATTTAATAAAATTTTATTGATTTGTAGTGAGCTGAAGAGAATTGAGATAAATTGGGGAATGGGATGGTTTGGAAGATAGAGGGAAATCACAAATCTAGACCCCCAGAAAGAGAACCTCTAATGCCCTCCCATTAAAGAATCCCCTTCACTAAAAGCCATTCTGAGCAGACATTGCCTCCTTGTGCTTTACAATATTGATGCCATTTTAAAAACCATCTCCACAGATCCACAGACAGCAGCTGGTGAGGTGGATGGGGTGAATCTGGAAGAAATCCGAGAATTTGCCAAAGCTTTTAAAATCCGGCGCCTGTCTCTTGGTCTGACGCAGACCCAAGTTGGCCAGGCTTTAAGTGCCACGGAAGGCCCAGCATACAGCCAGTCTGCCATCTGCAGGTAACACCTCTGCCACCCAGGCTCAAACTTCCTTGCCTTTGGGCCCGGCTCTGGTCCTTGCTTCCTTCTTATGCTGTGGCTCTTCCTCAAGCATGCGAGGGGTGAGGGCAGAGGTCGGGGGAAGAAGGGGGAGGCTGGAGAGAAGACAAAGCATGGAAGCTAGATGGAGATAAGTGGGACTTGATCATGTGTGCTGTGAACTGAGGGTCAGAACCTTTGAGGGAGCAAGGGGTGGAAGGGGACCTGATAGAGAAATCTGTGTGTGTGTGTGTGTGTGTGTGTGTGTGTGTGTGTGTGTGTGTGTTCCTTCCAGGGAGCTCAAGTCTTTGCTCTGAGTGACAAGAGAAAACACCAGACAATGGGCCTGGATTCCCTCCCTACTGATGCTGCCTACGCACTTGAGAGGCCTCTTCTCCCTAGGCCATTTTCTATAGTTAGTCTTATTGAGCCAATGTTTTGAGGCTGCCTGTCCCTGTTTGTGTCAGAGCTTCCAACATTTCTGCTAAGAATTGACAATGGGGGCTCCCCAAGGAGAAACAGGAGGAGAAAATTAACTACTACCATGCAAGGGTTTTTGAGATTTCCCTTGCTCAAAGTTTGAAAACATGAGAAGGGAAGGGAAGGCAAGGGGAAAAGAAAGTTGAGGAAGAAAGGGAGCAAGGAGAAGGAAGAGAGATAAGGAAGGGAAGAAAGAGGAAGGAAGGAAGGAAGGAAGGAAGGAAGGAAGGAAGGAAGGAAGGAAGGAAGGAAGGAAGGAAGGAAGGAGGGAGGGAGGAGGGAGGGAGAGGGAGGGAGGGAGGGAAGGGGGAGGGAGGAGGGAGGGGGGGAGGGAGGGAGGGAGGAGGAAGGGAGGAAGGAAGGAAGGGAGGAAGGAAGGAAGGAAGGAAGGAAGGAAGGAAGGAAGGAAGGAAGGAAGGAAGGAAGGAAGGAAGGAAGGAAGGAAGGAAGGAAGGAGTTCTTAAATGGCAGAAGAGAAAATGTCTGGGTATATCTGACCTCTCCTTAGTGAAAACACAGCTCAGATATTGTGGAGTTAGAGTTGATCCCAGTTAAGTAGTCAGGAGCAAAGCCCATGTCTGCATGTATGTGTGTTCCTCTAATCCTATGTTTATGCATGAGGTAACAAAGGCACTTAGGTAAGAGCTGCTTCCTCTTGGGCAATGCCTTATAGTCCTCTTCCATCAGGGAAAGCCAAGAAACCAACTCTAAACTCATTTAAGTGGGTTTTGTTCTTGGTGATCCATGAAATGCTCTGTCTTTTTATCTGCTCTTTATACTTTTAATGTATTCCCCAAAGAACAGAAGTGTACTTTTCCTGCAGTTTAAGACTAAGGTTATAAATAACATCAGTATGGGGTAGTGAGCTTGCAGCTCACATTTTGCTCAATGATTTTCCATAAAACCCATTGATTGTCGTTAAATACAAAAAGCTCCATAGGATCCTCTCACTTCTATGGCCTCCCCTACTGTTTTTTCTTATAAGATACCTCCCTGTAGAAAATAACCTTTATTCAGTCTATACAAGGATACTGCTGCTGGGAAATTTGTTTCCAGACCTGTATATCGTTATACCAAGCAACATGGCCTAAGACATCCTCTTTCCCCACAAGGAGGACCCCGGATAGGAAATATCACAGCTACCTGTGGCCAGACATTAATTACACTTCACTGGGGATGCCTAATGATCATAGGAGCCCCAAGTTTTGTTTTTCTAAGCTATGTCCAATTTGTGGTGGCTGCTGAATGAGTCTCTGGCCTATTTTAAATGTCTGAAATGTGAGTTCCTTATTGTCTCCTGTGCTTCCTAATTTGATGGAACCACTCAGTTGCTTGCAGTTGATATGACATTACAAGTCATATACTCTGGTTCTTGGAATCTTTCCCTGAGGGCCCAAATGAAGAGTGAGGACCAGAACAAAGTCTAAGAAATGAAAACAAAGCCTGGTTATTCTCTTACAAACAAAACTGGCCATTCATGGGGCAGCTAGGTGATGCAGTGGATAGAGCTTCAGCCTTGGAGGCAGAAGGACCTGAGTTCATATCTGGCCTCAGACACTTTACGCTTACTATCTGTGTGACCCTGGCCAAGTCACTTAACCCTGACTGCCTCACCAAAAAAGCAAAAAACAAAAAACCTGGCCATTCATGATAGTTTACCTTTTCTGGGCCTTTGCCCTTTGCCAAGAACTTTAGTCCCTACTACCCCTAAAAGACAGAGAAAACAGCTGTTTGCCAGCATTAAAATGTAGATCCTTCCAGAGGGCTTGATCATATTGGAAAAAATTGCTAACTCCAGTTAATTTCAGAGACTGAACGAAATCTCCATGTAAACCTGTGCTTCACAGTTATCCAGATTTGCCACATGCTGGTTGGCAGGGGACCACTTTGAAGGGGAGCTACAATGGTTCTGAATTGTTAGGAAGTACAGCTGCCTTTTCCCTCCTAGGAGCTGGAGTTTTATCTGTACCTCTTTGGAAACAAATGCACTATTAAGTAGAATGGGCTTCTCCAACATGTGGGTAGAGCTCAAGTACTGAGATCTGCTTTGCTCTTACTCAGTACAGAATAGTAAAATCTATTGTTCTAACAACAAGAGATTAAATGGACCTCAATACTGGGCTTCTGTATAATGAAAGATGGCCAAGTATTCAAATAATATACAGCTGTAACATCACCAGAGAACTGAGGATAGGAGGCAAACTTGATATGAATAATTTTCATCAAACATTATTCAACAGTTATCATTTCCCTTTGTATTGTTGATTCTTATTTGTCCTGCCCCATCCCCTTACTTCCAAGTGGTGCTAGAGTTTGGAATTTTTTAATGGAAAAAATCTACCTGGAGCAACATCTAAAGATATGACCATTTGGCACCTCTGTAGAATTTGTTTTGTTTTCCTACTACAACAGCAGAAATTGTCTAAACACAGAAGTCTCTGAACATCAGATGGATGCAAAGGAGCCTACTCATTCTATATCTTTTGATTGTCTTCTTTTAAAGCACATCATAATTCCCCAAGCAAGCATAGTTCAGCACCATGAACAATGGACAGCACAGAAGAATACCCCCACCACAGAAAGTCCAATGCTTTTCAGCAGCCTTTTCTATATACATATATGTATGCATGGATGGATGGATGGATGGATGGATGGATGGAGAGAGAGAGTGAGGGAGGGGGGGAGAGAGAACAGCTCAAATGGCTGGGGTTGCCATGCAGAATTGAGAAACCCCAAAATACAACTAATCGTATGTGACTTGGTGTTTTATTAAGCATGGATAAAAATTTATTAGGATAACTATTTGAATATTTACTTGTATATACTTTTATAGCCCAGATGTTTCCTATTGTTTGTTTGATGTAATGTAACAATAAAAAAAAGACTTCTGATTGCAAAATGATATCTAGATAAGATAGATAGAAGACCTCATTTACAGAAAATAATATTATTCCAATACATATGGCTAGTATTCCATAATAAACCCAGCTTGAGGCCTCCACAATATTAGTGTACTATAATGTGTTACTTCATCTGAAAGGCATGAGTTTATCTTAGCAAATCCAGGTGCGGAGTATTCAAAATAATTATAGTGCATTGAACTATTTGAGCTGAATACCACCATAGTGATGGAATAGGTTTTACCTAGAAAAAGCACTTGAAGCACATGGTGAAAAACAAAATTTTAAGATAAAGAGAGAAGCAAGTGATAGGAAGTGGGGGAGGAGGGAAAGGAAAGGGGAAGGGGAAGGGCAGGACAGAGAGAGAGAGAGAGAGAGAGAGAGAGAGAGAGAGAGAGAGAGAGAGAGAGAGAGATTGAGAATTAATAACACTATCATGGAATATTGTAAAATTCTAACTTTTAACTAATATTGAAAAATTGGGGAATCATTATAGGATTTTTTAAGGATAATTGCAACTGAAGGAGGATGAAAATTGGTGCATTTGATGTCATTTCCTGTCATTAAAGTTTTGCCTTAAGACTGTTAAAAGATTTCTTTGCTAAATCCAAAGCTTAGATTTTATAATGTACTGAGAAACTTTAGGATTTCTGCAAATTATGGTGTCTATCTTGGTCCTAAATGTCTCTTTCCGTCTCTGTGGTTATATGTTCCTAGTTCCCCTCCCTTTGTTCTGTCACCTGTGCATTTGTGCATGCGTGTGCGTGTGTGTGCACGTGTGCATGTGTCTGCATGCTGGAGCAATAAGTTGTCAAGACTTCGCCGGTGGTTTTCCTAACCCGTTGTCAATTCCCTCTGCCAGTCCATCAGGCAGGCAGGCAGGCCCACCCTGGCAGAGTGCCCAGTGTAAGACTCTTCTTTCTCAATTCTCCCCCCAGACACACCATCCTGAGAAGCCACTTTTTCCTACCACAGGAAGCCCAAGAGAACACTCTAGCTAGCAGTCTGACAGCCAAACTGAACCCTGGCCTTTTGTATCCTGCCAGGTTTGAAAAGCTGGACATCACCCCTAAAAGTGCCCAGAAGATCAAGCCGGTGCTTGAACGGTGGATGGCTGAGGCTGAGGCCCGCCATCGGGCAGGTATGCAGAACCTGACCGAGTTTATCGGGAGCGAACCCTCCAAAAAGCGCAAGAGGCGTACCTCCTTCACGCCCCAAGCCCTCGAGATCTTGAATGCCCACTTTGAGAAGAATACACACCCTTCAGGGCAAGAAATGACAGAGATTGCAGAGAAGCTGAATTATGACCGAGAAGTAGTTAGAGTTTGGTTCTGCAATAAGAGACAGGCCCTGAAGAACACAATTAAACGTTTAAAACAGCATGAGCCGGCCACAGCCATCCCAATGGAGCCTTTAACAGACTCTCTGGAAGAAAATTCCTAAAGGGAGCGAAAAAGAGACACACACACACACACACACACACACACACACACACACACACACCCCAACCTAAAACAAATGTAAGAAGAGGAAAGCCTGTCACTGGGACTGGGCAATTATAGCTCCATTTGTCACCCTTGTAAGTAAAAGACTGAGAAAACAACAAAGTGGACCGAACACTTTCTAAATGTCCATGTGATTTTCCAAAACAATTAAAATGTTCATGAAGAATGCCCCACACTTGCTGTGTGTGGTAGAATTTTCCCCCCACTTTCCCCTCCCCTCAAAAAGCCAGTTTTTTAATGGACTGAAAGTAAACCAAATAACTGAGTGCATTTTTCTGTATATTATGAAAATGTGGACACATTTTAAGGGGGAAAAAGCAAAAAACAAAAAAGCAAACCAACTTGTATGTGTTCAAAGAGAATCCAAGCCTGCCACCTGGAGGGGAGAATGTAGCCTTCCAAGTACCAAGGGCTGGTTCACTCTGGAGCCTATTAACCAAAGTCAGAAACATGGCGCCGCCAGCTCGGCCGATTGTTAGTCTACACTTTTATGAGCGTAAAGTTGTGTTACGAATTTTTACATTTGTACTTTCCAGAAATAATAGAAAGGCTGGTTTTTCCCATCTCTCCTGCCTGGTATTCTCACCCGTGGGGTGGGACCACTTCCTGAAGCCATCCTGTGACACTCACGATGATTTGTCATCTGGGGCTGAGTGGTCTCCAAGTGGCCGTATGCCAAATTGGTGGTATTTTCCTCCCGTGATAACTTGTGGGTTTAAAAGAAGAAAAGGAAGCAAGTGACATTTTGTTCCTTCTCTGTTATGGATTTCTGTGCCTCTCCCCACACCTGCATCCCCAAAATTCTGCCTAACCGTCCTAAGAGGGAGGAAGTAAAAGCATCTTTCCACTTTGACTCTGATGGAATGGAATTGGGAAATTTTGAGCTAACAAGGAATACTCTCAATGAACTGTCACCGTTAGCCCATGCTGTAATTGTGCTCATTGCTGTCCACAGCATGGCTCTTGGTTTTTTCTGTCTGTTTACATGGAACGTGGAACACTCACCAAAATTCATTTTGTAAGAGAAATAGAAATTGCACATTTGGTTCAATACTTCCACGCAACATGATGCAGCCAACACTTACTTACATCCCTGTGTTGGGGTCCTGTGCAAAATGATTTCTCTCCAAAGTCTTCTAGCCAAAGAAATTTATTGAAATGCCAACAAAAAATATACATTCCTACATATGCACCCCCATTCCTAAAGAAACAGGTCAACAAATAAACAATGCTGTTAGGGTTGTTGCAGCCTATCATATAGCGCTTTACTGTTAGCCTCATGCTTTCCGCCATATCTTTTTTCATTCCAATATTGATCGTCAGGGCTTGGTTTTTGTTTTTGGGGTTTTTTTGTTTTGGGGGGTTTTCTGCATTGGACTGTCACTGTAGGACTATATATGTTATCGGGGCAGTGAGTTAATAGTGGGTGTGGATGATGAGTCACAGAGAAGTAGCAATCAAAATTCAAGAGTGAGTTTAAGAGATGAGAGAAGCTCCATGAGGATAGAGAACAGTCCACATATAAGGTGTATTGGTTGAGAGAGAGGGACTGGCAGACAAAGAGAGAGAGAGAAGGGAGAGAGAAGAGGAGAGGGGGACAGAAAAGCAAAATAGAAGAGAGGAGGAGGGAGAGATGAGGGAGAGATAGAGAAGAGAGAGGGGAGAGATGGAGAGAAAGTGAGATTGCTCAGTTTTTCAGAAGGTCCTTCAGCATTGGGACAAATAAATTTATTTTATTTTGTAAAATTTACCATCTTTTCCTTCCATTTGATGAATGGACAGAAAGAATATTGTGAAACTGAGAGAAGGTAGAAGCGACGACTAGCTCATGAATTGAGTCTTTTAGCTCTTTGGCCTTTTCCAATGGCTGTAGATGGGAGGTATTTGTTTAAATGGGCATGAAGGAGGGATTTACATACGTTTCCCTGTTGTTGAAATGTAAATATCTGTTTCTAATAAATAATAATGTTACATGTAATAGTTTCAGGCAAATTTGCAAAGAAAAACCCACCACTATCCCCGCCCTCAAGGTGTCCAAACATTTGGACTGCCCACAGTAACATCCACCCCTAGTTTGGTTGTAGCTCAGTTTGTTTTCCTCTGTTGGTTAGTCTGCTAGTAGTAATGTCAATACTGCAGGAGATTCATTAGGTCTGTTGAATTCATGCAGTGTTTGGGAGGCCACATCAAAACCAGCAAAGAAACTCAAAAAAGCAGATGCTCCTGAGGTTCCCATCTCTATGGCACACTGGCAACTGGACCACAGCTTCTTTCAACATCAATGTCAACAACGCCACTAGAACCATTCCATCACTTACCCACTCCCCCACTGGCACCCATCACCACCAGCAAAACTGCATAAATACTTGTATGCTGGGAGTCAAATGACCAACACTTCCTCATTGAAAAACTCAATGTGTATTCTCCTAGGAACTGCTCCAATTTCAACAAAGAAAAACTCCCCAAGAAGAAAAGTTCACAAGACCCAGAACGATGGATGCTAAATGTTTAATCGTATGCCAGGAGCAGTTATATAAGGTCTGCTCAGTTCTGAGATCTATATTGGGAGAGAACAACCAGGACGGTGAAATGTAAAATACATATAATCTTCCAGAGTAGCGCAAAAAGGAATCTATTCATCCCACAGTCGTGAAATCATCCATGTGCAGTGATTTTTTTTTACGGTTTTCTAATTTTGTATTATGTTTTGTAAATTATTTATAAGGTGTTGTAATGCTTCTTATATTACTTTTTTACAAACAGGTTTTTGCTATGAGGCATAAAGAGGTGCCTGAACAGGTTCTTGGGGATATAAATGATGTATGTGTGTGTAACTCACTTGTGGGTCTTGTGGACCATGCCTATGGTTTGACTCCATTGCTGATTCCGTTGGGAAAGGACAGTGCATTTTCATGTTTCCGTGTCCCTGAAAGTTAATATTGCCACCAACGATTCACAACAGAAAGCAGTTTCCAGCTCATGGGATTGTCTTTTGAGCATTGCCCTGCATTTCTGGTTGATTTTGAGCTCTCTTCATTATTTCTATTTGACATGTGGGCCAACAGTGCTGTTCCTTTCACCTTCTGTTTCTGTGATTGGTTTATAGTCTTCTCCTGCATGGATTTTGGGAGATTTCTTCTGACCAAAAGCTGTTTTGGAGAGTTACAAATATGAAAGCATTCAGAGGTTTCAATTTATTTATGTTGTACCAACCCACATCTACTCCCCCACCAAACAAACATACACACACAAACACACGCACACACAAACACACACACAAAGAGAACAAGGAGGCAAAAGGAGCTAGAAAAGAACAAGTAGAGGCGTACAAAAAACTCAAGCTATAACCAAAAAGTAATTATGAATTGCCTTTGCTCGTCTTCTCAATGCTGGACCAAAGCTCAATGTATGTAGGTATATGCACATTGTATAGATATGGCTAAATGTTGCTGACAATCTTGCAATACTAAACTGTTACTATTTAAGAAAAAAGATAAACTTTCATCAGTGTTTACCTCAGCACTCTACTTGTACCCCATTAATGACCAACACAAAATGAGAGACAAAGATGGAGAACATGGAATTGAATTTCCATGTCAACGTTTGACTCTAAAATCTCTTTGGGATAACATTTTGTAATGAGCTTTTGTCACGTGGTTTGCTTGTCTCTGATTTGAGATTCTGTGAGGCACACTTGTTAGTTTCTTGTCAAGGAAGTGAGTTTCTGGTTATTATTTTTATGTCCTCTGTGCTGTAATCTACAGAATGGTCACCAGGGTCACTAATGAAGCCCTGCCAAGAGATCTGCTTTTCCATGCATGCTGCACGCTGCAGGAAGGGGGCAGTACAAAGAGGGACTCTATCATTTTCCAATAATAATAATAATAATAATAATAATAAGGATATTGATATTAGAGGAGTTGCCATGATGGACTTGTGACCAAGAAGCCAAACTGGATATTTAAAAGCTCCTAACTTGCTCTGACATTGAAACCAAAGCTGATTTACCTGCACAGGTTGCTTAATGTTAAAAAAAAAAAACACTGACAAACTGTACTTTATCTAGAGCAATATCTGTATGGTCAGTAAAGCTGCACTTTGTGTATTTCTTAAACAGCTTCAGATCTGTCACTTTTAATTTGTACCATAAAAAATAAAGAATTGTTTGACATGAGTTTGTAGCTGACATCTGTCTTTAACTCAGGTGTACTATTTACGTGGTCAGTGTTCATGTGATGTCACCACCAAAAGTGTTGAGTTCATATTGCTATTAAATCACATTTTAAATGGAATGTTTGTGTCTTCCACTAATGTCCTCCCCCAATACCATATTGGTGGGGGTGATCCTGCATTTTAACTCCAGGGAGCATAAGCTCCAGAATGGGCCAGAAATTCTTCAGGTAAGAGTCCAGTGATCAATTCTATCTGTCATCTAAGAACCAACCTTGTTATATTCTGGAGCACAAGTTTGACCTAAAGGTGAACAATGTCAGACACCACAAACTTCAAAGAATAAGAAGCAGAGGAGTTGCCATCTGCATTGATGAAGAGAATCTCCATATCAACAAGCTGAAGGATCTGTCATATAAAAGGAAGGAAGGAAGGAAGGAAGGAAGGAAGGAAGGAAGGAAGGAAGGAAGGAAGGAAGGAAGGAAGGAAGGAAGGAAGGAAGGAAGGAAGGAAGGAAGGAAGGAAGGAGGGAGGAGAGAGGAGGAGGAAGGAGGAAGGAAGGAAGGAAGGAAGGAAGGAAGGAAGGAAGGAAGGAAGGAAGAAGGAAGGAAGGAAGGAAGGAAGGAAGGAAGGAAGGAAGGAAGGAAGGAAGCACTGTGCTAAGTGTTTTGAATACAAACATAAAAGGAAAAACAGCTTACATTCTAGTGATGAAACACAGAGTATATAGGAGAGTAGAGGGAGGAATGTTTTGGTTTGGTAAGTCACAGGGATGGTGAGTGAAGCCATAGGGAAATTGATTAGCATACTCTTTCCATTAGTGATAGAAGTATTGATCTGATTACAGTTCCAGACCAAGAAAGTGGTGGCAGCAGAAGGGACAGCAAGAAGATGGTCATGATGGAATCTAAAGTATGACTAGGGCTGGCTAGACATAGCCATATGATAAGCTCACCAGTCAGAACAGAGTGAGTCCCAGGTTAATGGGAAAGGGAAGGAGGATGATAAATTATATTGTGTGGTTCAAATATTCAAACAATATGTTCAGAATATCTTGGGACATAGGCTAGTAAACCGGTTTCATCTGAGATTATAAGACCAATATTTTAATGACTTACCGTCCACATTTCGTGTGATAATGCAACCTGTATTAGAATATAATGTAACACTGATTAATAATGGGAGGCACAGAAACAACCAAATCTAAACACCTATCCAACTTAATGTCTAATTACATGGGGTACATATTTCCTGAAAGATGCAAGTCTACTCTTCATGAAGGAAGGAAAAACTAGAAACAGAACTCAAAGGAATGACTGGAAATTTCAGAGAAATGGATTTAGGCTCAATGAAAGAAATAGATTCTCGACAACAAGAGCTTGCCCAATGTGTGATGGGTCAGCTCAGGAAGTGGTGAGTTCCCCCTCATGGAAGATCTTCAAGCAAAGTTTGGATGGCCACTTGTCAGGAATATTATAGAGAAATATGTGTACACTGAATGGCCAAGTTCCTGAGGTCCCTGTATGCAAAATGTTTCTACGTGGAAAGGGAGTATATCTAAAGTGTGTGAGTGACTGACACATATGCAAATAATGGTACTAAGAGAAAATGGTGCAGAGAGGTTCAAGAATCACACAATTCCTAGACAACTACAAAAAAAAATAGACTGAATTGGGGTGAAGGTGGTGCTAAGTTCATGGGTGGTGATAAAAAGTACAAATAAAAAATTTATAAATGCAAAAAAATGGACTTAACTGTTAGGACTTTTAACATATCCTTTCTATTCAATGAATGAGTTGATGCACTACATGAGATGATCATGACTATATTGTTATTGTTGTTATAAATGATAGTGGAAGGCATTAACAAGTTTCAGATAAATGGAAGGATGGCTTATAGGTTTTCATTGTGGAGAAAATAAAAAAATTGGTTTCTTTGTGTGCCCAAAGATAAAAGATAACACTTTATGGGACCCTTGGTAATATTGCCTTCAAGAAGCAAAGTTCCAAATAGACAAATAGAAAAAGATAATTGTACCAAGATGTGTTGCTGAGTATGAAGAAAGAGTAAAATTCCATGGAGAACTTGACAAAACCTTCCAAACAAAGATTCATCTACACTTTGGTGACTTCATTGCAAAGGTGGTAGATGACAAAAAAAGGAGTAGATGACAAAAAAAGGAGTAGATGACAAAACCTACTTTGAACAATATGTTGAGTCATTAGCTTTGTGACATGGGTAGGTCAATTTCTTCTTCCTCACCTAAAATGGGGGTAATTATACAGATATATCCATCTCTCAGGTAAAGTGCTTCATAAACCTTAAAGAACTATAAAAGTGTGAGCTATGATATTACTCCCCTCACCTAATAAAAACCTGGGAGCACCATTCAAAGTGAAATGTTGGGAAAAGTCACAGAATCATAAATTAATGGCTAGAAGGAGCCTCAGTGGTTAGCTAGATCAACCCCTTTATTTTAGAGATGACAAAACTGAGACCAGCTTGTAGATTACTAAGAAGCCTCAGACCTTGACGTTGTGAACTATTTCATGAGAAGAAAGACAAGAGGATTGGGGTTTTTATCAATCAAAAGGATTATTTTGTATCAGAACACAAACATACTGAGACTGTTGCATGTGTCAATAGTCATGATCACTGTCGCTGGTTTTGATTGTTTCCCTTTTTTGTTAGAGAGGATGCTTCTGTGGACAAGCTATAGTGTAAAACAAACCCAAAATGTATCCAAAATTTTTTACAAAGAAGACTGTCAGAAGGTACTCAGTCATGAACACTGAAGATCAAAAGAAAAAAAACCCTTAGATTTACTACAGCTTAAAGGACATAAAACCACTAGTTATTCACATGAAAATCATCTCAGAATAAGCTGTCACTATAAAAACAGATCACTGTTTAGCATTAACTAATTAGATATCCAAATAGGTGAAAAATTAGGGGAAAAGGATGAAAACAAGAAGATACCATGTGTGATTAACACATCTCCAATCTGATTGATTTAACCAAGGTGTCAACTCTGAAAAATGAGAAATGGACAAAAGTAAAGACATTGACCCAGTCACCATTACCCAAAGAAATTAATTGAAACAAAAGTCACTATAACAAAGAAGGCAAAGGAGGAGCTCAGAAAAGATCTCAGTCAGCACATACTTGATCTCCCTTCTAAGCAGAGAGACTTGATATGAGCAAAAACAGCAATAATTTAAAGTAAAATCTCATTTGTAAAACATTATATAGAAGTCAACTGAGCAGAACCATCTCACCAACTGGCACAAAGCAGATGAGGAAGAAGTGCTGCCACAAAGAGCTTAGCATGTGATCCTGCTCAGCCAGATCATCATTCTGAGAACATTTCTAGATGAACCTGAAAGAGGGCACCAAACTGAGGAAAAATGAAGAGAGTATGCTAGTGCTCTCTGGAGTTAACACTGATAATCATCACATTTGGTGTCTCCAATTCAGTAGCATCGTCTTATGCAATAAAATGGCAATGACACTTAAGAAGATAGAGTTGAAAAGAAATGTTGCACCTGAATGCAAAAAAAAAACACTTTGCTTAAGGCAACATAATTTTACAACTCTCAGGCAGAGATTTTCAATGTACTGTGAGGGGGAAAAAAATCCAAAAGAATAGAAAAAATCTTACACAATGCTTTTTCTCCTGCCTCTGAAAAGAAAAAAGGAGGGGGACCTCAAAGACACCATCAATCATTGACCTATATGGCTCCTGTCTTATCTCTATAAAATCTTTATCAGAATGCTCTATATATGTATTGAGGACATCCTCCTCAATGTAATTATAAGAAGGCAACTGTCAGTCTTTGATGGTTTTGTACAGCCATACAAATGGAATTTACCAGATTATGGAGAGATCATAAGATCCTGTTTTCTTTTTTCTTTTTTTAAATTTTCTTTTTTACAATGAACTTAACAATCACCAACATAGGCAGACATTTCAATATGAAGAGAACGAGAAAGAGAACTGTATAAAAAACTCCTTTGAGATTCATGCTAGATCAATTTATCACCCAATCTAGATCCTGGTGGCAATTACCAGCACCCCTCTCCAGGACTTTCCCCTTCCTTCTTCAATGAGTTCAATGTCTGGCTTACAGGCTTTCTCTTCATCCCAACTCCTGCCTTCATACAAAGGCAATATACATATTTAATACCCTAACTTCTCAGTTCCCCAATCTATTCAATTCTCATTACTTTAACTAACTCCACTCTAGGAATGGTCAACCCTTGATCTTGCCATCATCTTGCAATTATAATAATTCCATGTTCATGAACTCTGAAATTTCATTACCTGGTCATGGTCTTTTCTCATTCTTTCTTTCCCTAAGCCTTATGATCTTTCCCAAATGTGACCTAGTCCAATCTCTCCCCATACCCAGATCTGGACCAACCTTATTGTCCATTTTTAGCTCCTGTTCAAGATGTATAAACACTAACGGACCACAAAAAAATGTGCTGCCTACCCTTCTCAGCTGTATGTTATTGATAGTGGAGTATGGGGTTTTTTTAAATCCATTTATTTGTATTAGTATGGATGGTCAGGCCTGTCTCTTTCTCATTGCTGAAGGGTTTTTTTTATACTTTTGAATACAATTTCTGTATCTCTTTAGACTTTGCTTAGAAAAGTGCTTGGCACATAATAGCACTTAATAAATACCTTGTTGACTTGATTTAGTTTTCTGGCCCATGATATGGTAACTTTTGTCAACAATGAAATGCGTTAAGTATTCCTCATACTACATTGGCATAAAAATATTTCACCCTTGACTATAGGCTGAACTCATACAATGAAATCGACTTGGAAAGGAGAATGAAAATTATCTTGCTCTCATTATGAGAAAAAATCATTGTTGTAAAATGTAGTCAGTGAGAAAGCTGGATGGAGAGCTGGTTTTGGAGTAGGATGAGAAGAGTAGATAAAAGCTGATTGGAGTGAGATCACACATCACACTAAGGACTGTGAAAATCTGATTTGGGAAAATAATACAGATTCTGTTCAAATTAATTCAGGATATTTATTTAGGAGTTAATAATAATTACTAGTAATAGTAAACATTTGTAATGCTCTTTAAGGTTTGAAAACATAATG